AGCTACTTAAAAAATGACAGCTTGTGGCTAAATTTTGATGGTTTCTCCAATTGTGGTCAATGGGGCTAACTCCTAAAAAATATCATGCTGACTCCTGGATTGGACAGACTGGCTCCTGAATTCCAACCATTTGCATACAAACTAAAGCTGGCCATACACCTATAATTTTTTTTTCATTCGACCAGCAGGTTGATTGACCGGATTACTCCATCAACACAAACAGCATGTCAATCGAGGGATTGATCCCGCTGTTTACATTGTATTCTGACATGTGACACCGACACCTGTCAGAATACCCGATCAGAGCGGGCAGCTCATTGACTGTCGGATCCGATCGAAAAGCCGGCTCTTCGATCTGCTGATTGAGGAATGCCAGCCCAAAGGGAGCCGACAGCCCCAAACACTAAACCGGCCGAAATTCGACCAGTGTATGAGCAACTTTAGAGAAGACAAATGTTTACCTTTTTAGCATACATTGTAAGAGAAGAACACCATGGGAAGATGCATGTTTAACCTCTAAATACCAATACTCCACCTAAAAGCACCATCTTTCTCTGAAGGACCAAAACACAGGTAGGGCCAGGAAAAGGGTCACTAAAAGTCAGTATAGGGTACCCGGAAAGCCAATTTGGAGAATTATCTTAAACTATAAGGGCATGGAAAAAAGTGCATGGGAGCTCAGCATGAGAGTCAATGACAGCTCTTTCTAGGCATTAGATTACAGTTTCCCATGCTGGTCCTCATGTCCAACCAGTCGCTCCTGTCTTGCGAATAGCCACAAAAGTAATTAAACTGCATTGCCTTGACATAGATCAACTTCTGCAAACGGAAAGTTACCTGCAAAACTGACCTGAACCTGCATAAGACCACTGATTTCCAAAGTTTAGGGCTTGTTCACACCAAGCGCGTTCCAGGAGCAGAGCAGTTACAGACCGGGTCAAAACTGCGTCCAATGTATTCCAATGGTATTTTGGGATCTAGTTCACAACGCAGCGTTCAGTTTCAGAGCATGTAAAAAAAAACTGCAGCAAGCCCTATTTTACCTGCTCTGGAACGCACAGAAAGCCCATTTTAAACAAAAAAAAGTTTTTTTTTTTTTTTAACAGAAAAGGGCCCAGAACGCATCAAACACGCGGCAAAAAACACAGTATAACACACTGCACTGCGTGTGCAGAAACTCATGCAGATCTGGTCTGCATTTGGTGTGAACAAGCCCTTAGGCAACTCTGCAATGAATGTGAGAAAGCAACTTCAGAAACACATGACCTCTAGATTGAAGTAAGGAGTAAACAATGACGTAGATAACAATTTTACACTTTTCACCAAGACCCTGTTATACACATTTTTAATGTTGTTTTATGGTCCATTCTTGTGCATTGGAAGCCCATTCAAAATTAAATGCTTGCAACCTGAACCAGTTATACTAAGATATGATCTTGGTTTAAATTGTTTTTTTTTTTACAGCCAACGATGGCTGTTTACATACAAGCATTCCGAAGGCTATAAAACTGTACAATTCCTTGTGAGGTGCAAAGGAGTGTATGCCCCCCTCGGCGGCTGGCTATCCTGGGCTCCGCTCTCCCTTGTGTGGGCCCGGGACCAGCACCGTGGGTCTGTTCACTTTGATCAGAGGGAGATCAGCACCAGCTGATCTTCCGTCCGATCACTGAAAGCGGAAGTGATGTGCATTACATCACTTCCGGTTTCAGTGTGTGATGAAACAGGATATCTGCTTCACCAGCTTCTTTGGTGGCCATACACCTTACAATTATCTGCAGTTTTTCTATGGTCAGATGGAAAAAGTGCAACAGATTCCTCCATCTACACTACGCTTTGTGGATGGAGGAATCCCCCACTGGGCCAAGCTTCAGTATGTTGCTAGTCGGCCCCGCTGGCTCTCAAAAAACCTGAACAATCTGATTGGATGCAGGCATTGTTCAGGTATTTTAAGAGCCAGCGAGGCCGACTAGCAAGATACTGAAGTTTGACTCAGTGGGAGATTCCTCCATCCACAAAGTGTAGCGTAGATGGAGGAATTTGTTGCACTTTTTCCATCTGACCATAGAAAAGCTGCACATAATCTATAGGTGTATGGCCAGCTTCACACTGGTTTTCCTGCTCACTTATAGTCTCCATCGGACGCCAGTGTGACAAGGTGACAATGCAGGAGAAAAACTGTTTCTTAACTATGTATCTTTTAGCTACTATATAGTCATTTGCAGGTAACATAGTGATGGCTCCTAAGTTTTTAAAGCTGGTTCATAGTTCTGGGTGAGATTTGTCCAGGACTAGGTCCCCATTCACACAACAAAACGCACAGCACATAAATTCCCATTGATATCAATAGCCCCCATTCACACCTGAGTGTTTTGTCACAAGTTGTAAAATGCCTGTCGCTGGAAAAAGTTTCTTTGGGTCGTTTTGCAGTGCGTTATGGCCCCATAGACTTCAATTGAGAAGCCTGCTTTGCACATTCCTGTGCGTTTCCTCGTTGACCGCAATATTTTTTAAAATGTGCGTATAACAATTGTGAAAATATGCACAAAAAAAAAAAAAAAAAAAAAAAAAAAAACCGCACAAAACATGCTAGGCAAAAACGCGTGGAAAAAGTCAAGGCACACATGCAGGTATGAAAGGGCTGTTATAGATCCCTTTAAATATGCATTTAAAACATATCTAAACCTCCGCAACAAAAATCTAAAATTTTGCCGCTTAGTGGATTTCTTTTATTTGACTGTTTTCAACCTAGTAATCCTGTGAATAAAATGTGCAGCAGCCACATAGATGAATGTGTTTTTACTGCAGGATAACAGACAAGACTCTAAAAGCTCTCCCACTCAGATCAGACGGGCGGCCTGCCAGACTGTGCACACTGCTAGGAATCAGGACCTGGCTTCCCCTATACCCTGCATCATGTGACAAGAAAATGACACACACTGCTGAGCACAGAAGCCAAGTCCCACACAGTGCAGCATGGTGTTGATCAGAATCAGGGATCCTATGGCCAGGACATCCCATATATTTGGGGACTTTTATAAAATACACAACTAGTGAAAATGATATGGAAAGTCTTGCGTCAACCATGAAGACCTAAACCCGCAAATGACACTGTTGTGGGATTATGTGGTTTATGCTCAACCTCTAATGATTAGGTCAAAAAAAGCCAGTCTATCATCTTTCAAAGACTCATGCTGGCCACAGACATTGCAATTTCAGTCACATTTTCTTAAACTGAACCTGTCACTTTAGAAAAGGGGAGGTGCTATTTTTTCATGGTGAAGGATCTACGTGACTACATGGTAAATCCCAGAACTATCAATGTACAAGCCGACCTAACCTAGCCCAAATTCGATGGTTTCCTAAACCAGTGCTGGACAAATCCCAGGAGTCAGGTAGCCAATGCTCCTTAAAAATTAGTCTGTGCCTAACTTTTGAGGTTTTCTCTAGCTGTCGTCAACGGGGCTAGCTCCTAAAAAAATAAACCTGCTTGCTCCTGGATTGGACAGAATGGCTCTTAAATTCCATATTAATTTGTCCACCCCTGTCCTATACTAATTAACCTAAACCCACCCATCTAGATGGTTACCTATTCCTTAGATTTTACTTCTCCATGGTTTATTTACTCTGCTTGGCCTGATATTCTTTCCTGGTACAGACAAGCCTTTGCGATGTCTCCCCATACACTTGAATAGGGCTACGCTACAGATGCTAGGGGTTCAGCCCCTATCCAAGTCCATAGAAATTCACTTTGCAGGCACATCCAGCATCAGAGAAGATTTGTTGGTGAGGATGGTAAGCATCTGGGTGTGTGGGATCTAGGTTAGACAGGGAGCACAGACCAGTAAGTTTTTGTTTAGAAGTGAACTTGTGCTCCAATCCAGTCATGTGACTGTCAGTGCTCACATGACTGGATTGTTTACAAGGTAAATGGAGGCCTCAGTGTGCTCTGATGAGGCTTCCTATTCCTCTTCTGAAGCCCTTGTGGTGTCATTGGGGGAAGGTGGCCCAAGCTGCAGACTTTGGAGGGGGGGGGGAAACCCTCATAGAAGACAGGGGGTTACAGAAAGAGCTAAATACCTTCAATGTGTAGTGTGGTGACAGGGTCTCTAACAGTGAAGCCAGGGGCAGGCAAATTCAGCGTTCCAGCTGTGGCGAAAATACAAATCCCATCATGCCTGCGACTGTCAGTCTTGCAATGCCTCATGCGACCTGTAGTTCCACAACAGCTGGAGTGCTGGGTTTGCCTATTCCATTCACACTTAAGCATGAGCATTTTCGTAGCATGGTAGCTTTTGTTTTAGTCAATGGAAATCTAGTTACTAGCAGGAGGAGACAGTTGTTAGGCATGAGAAGTGCACATTATAAGTAATTTTTAAAAGGGGCCCTCACATTGAAGTCTATGGGGCCAAAAATGCAAAAAAAAAGAGCTAATGTACTTTTTGAAGCTACAAGCAAGGAGTTGCGCTCTGGTGGGAATGCTTCCATAGAAAATGGGGGCTGTTTTTAGAAGTCCACAACATATCAGTCTTCTAAGCACTTACTGCTAGACAGACAAGCATCACTTTCATTCAGCTGAATGCCTCTTCTATGGACTCACAACTAGATGGCATCTGCAAGCACTGGTGTAGTACACATAACGTAACCAGGATATCGGAGAGAATGAAAAGCCCCTCAATTACTCCAAGGTACAGCTAAAGTATAGCTGGATAGAAGGGAAAACTCTGCCTGTGCATTGCGATCGTCATTTAAAGCTTTATACACACACAACAAAAAGTTCAAAACAACAACCTGGAAGCGATCGAACATCCTCCACACACAGCCGGACACCGGAACCCACCACACATGCCCCGCCGCATCCACGAAACTAACCGGAGCTCATCACAACGGGGCAGCCATGTTCCCCGCCAGAGCTCAGCCCGGGGCTGCTGTGGAGGATGTGAAAGCATCGCAGTACATGAGAGGCCTAAAGCTCGCCCTATTACCCTCGTCCGGTTACTTACGGCTCTCCATCGGGAACCCGGGAGGCTCCACTCCCGGCCGCAAATCACTCCCCGGGCTCCAGGCCGCCAGCTGGGCCGACGCTGCTCGCTCTGCGCAGATTCCACAAACTACTGCTTCCGGGTCAGACGAGAACCGGTACGGGTGCGCGCACTATCCAGCTGTGGGTGAGCGGCGCGCGAGCGCTTCTTCTCATTCCTTCGTGACGTCACCGGCTGGAACGCAGCAGGGGCCTTCCCTGCTAGAGTCACTGCAAGGCACTGTTCTATCTGTCCCTGATTTACAGGGACTGTCCCTTCTTTACTTCTCAATGGTCTAATGTATAGGCCTGTAGACAAATGTACTATATGGTGAATCCATACATATGTCTGTATAAATAAAAAATGTCTGTATTTTCATGCATTTTTAGCACATTTTTTTCTGTTTGGTTTTCATGTGCTTTTCTTGCTCTTTGGACGTGTGGAATGGAGGGGGGGGGAAAGTATAGGTTGCTAGGGAGCTTTTTGTCCTGCACCAAAATGTGCAGAAATGCATTTTACATGCATTCTCTTTGAAGTCTCCAGTTTTAACGAGGAACTTTACCCATATCCTTATAATGACAACAAAGGCACCTTTAGAAATGTTTTGTTTTTTTAACAGGTACCTTTAGAAATGTTTAGTAATGACAATATACAAACACATACATCTAGATAATTGACGGGTTTGTATTCTTTGCATTCCTCATTTCTCTTTTCTTCCCCAGTCTTCTGGCAGTGGTCATGTTTACTAAGGGCAGATTACTAGATCTCCCTTTACTTTCTGGAACTCTTGACACATGTGACTAGGACATGTGACCATGCACATCATCTCAGGGGAGGAAAATGCCTTTCCCTGAGATCTCGTGAGATTACAGATTAGATTTCCCAGCAGTGCTCTACTCATGCAACCTTCCCAGGATGCAACACATGGGCACGATGACATCATTTGTGCCAAAGAATACCAGGAAGTAGAAAAAAGAAATTGTAAGTAAAATAAAAATATGTTGAATTAATAATTGTAAGATGAACTGCATGCTGATGTGATTTTTACTCAAAGAGGTAAAGGTCCGCTTTAAACAAAAAAAACACTAAAAGAAGCACCTGCACCTTTTTGAAGCGCACGGAAGGGCTTTGGATAGATGTGAATAGGACTCAGAAGAAAATTATGGGATTTTTCTTTGTCATGTGATGGCCAAAGCCCTTTGAATCATACAGGTGTGAACAGAGACTGCTTGAAACCCGGTTCACGTGCGACAGTGCATGCATTTTTGTGTGATGCATATAGGGCAGCCTATTCATTGCACTGGACTTCACTATGCACAACAATCACATCAATCTCTGCACCTCACACCAGAATGCAGGGTACTTCCTTACTATGCATTTTGGTGCAAGTTCACACACCTGAAATAGAAGATGCATTAGGGCTACATTAACAATGAATGGCAACCACAGCGCATTTTATAAAGTGACAGGTTTTGGCAGGCTGCGACACCACACATAAAATCACACATCTTCACACACATTGCCACAGCGCACAGATGTTAACAGGGCCTAAGCCAGGGGTGGGTCTCTGCCTCTGGGAGTCATACCTGTAACTGTCAGTCTTGCAATGCCTTATGTAGTTACACAACAGCTGGAGGGCCAGAGTTTCCCACCCCTGTCCATAAATATTCAGTATAGTCCAAAGAACCATTCCCACTCTCCAGGCGATTTTGAAGCCAGCTGACAGAAGAAGGGCCATCTCTATTCCTGTCAACCTAATAGCAACTGAGCTGGAGGGAACTCTCAGCTGCCCCGGAGATCTGACAGGCAAACTCAGCCGAAGTCTCCAAGTAAGATCCAGAGATTTCCCAAGTATTTCCAAATAGACAGCACAGAGGTGTAATGTTCAATCCCCCAGGGACATATAGTATACCTTTCCTTCACTTCACTGTTCTGCCACTGGAATTAAAGAAAGACCCTGTAACAGCTTACACAGGGCTAAGGGCTTACTCCCTAACTCCATGTGACAGCACGGGGCCAAGCCAAACATTTTTATGTGAACATCTTTTTACTCTGTACTTACGCACACACAAAAAAAGCTACTACCATGTATAAAATGCAGGAAACCTGAGCTACCTGCAGCAGCCTGCATTCACCCTACAATGCCTGAATGCCAGTTCATTCTTATCTAGCAAAGCTCTGACACTTCCTGGTAGTGTTGAAGCTTGCCCAACCCATCCTGCCTTCCATATATTCATAATGGCCAATGATGAATCCCATCATAGCACAGCAGGGACAATAAGGACATTTTGGTTATCCATTATTATTATTCCAATTATTAATTGGTTGTGAAAAAAGAAAATATTTCTGTACTGTTAAAATAATGTTTTTAGCTCTAGCCTGATGGTTATGCATTGATTGTATGTTTCCCTATTTGTAATTCTGTAATTTAGGCCTCTTTTGGGGATGGGAGATTTCCCCTTTGTCCAGGGGTCTTCCCTCTGCTGAATGTTACCACTGTGTAAATTCATATTGACATACTCAGCCTGATGCCTTTATTCTGTGTTTTTATTTTGTTGTTTGTATATGAATATACCTAAATAAAGATTATTTTATATATCAAAAAATCATTTATTATTATAGACATTTATTTAACGCCAACAATGTATGCAGAGCTTTACATATTGCACATTTACATCACTTCCTGCCCTCAAGGAGCTTATCTCAGACAGTGTTTCTCAACTTTTTTTAGTCACCGCACCCTTTAAAAGTTTGCAAAATCTCGAGGTACCCCAGTCTAATAGTCATAGATTTTAAGGGGGACCCCGCGCAAAAACACACATAAAAGAGGGTTTCCGCTTTATGTTAAAGTGCCCCCCTTCAAATCAAGATCTCTCCCCGTATTAGGGTCACCCATTCCATCCGTAGCCCCCCTTTCACATCAGAAGCCCCTCTTTCATATCAGTGTCTGCCCCTTTCACATCAGAGTTCTCCCTTTACATCAGGAGCCCCCTTCACATCACCGTCCCACTAACATCAATATTTTGTGGCACCCGTGAGGAAGCCAGAAGTCACACCAGGATGCGATATAACCCTGATTGAGAAAGGCTGGTCTAGGGTAGGGGCAGGCAAACTACAAATCCTATTAGGCATTGCAAAGCTCTGACAACCACAGACATGACTCCTAAAGCAGATGCATGATGGGATTTGTGGTTTCACCACAGTTGGGTGGAGTGTGGGAGGGGACACACACAAGCTAAGGGAGAAAATACAGAGGACATGCAGGTAGTGTCCTGGTTGGGATTCAAACCAAGGACCCTAGTCGTACTGGCGGGATGGATAACCACTAAGCCATTGTGCGTTTGTATCTCGCTTCTGTGTATAAACTTTCCTTTTTAATAAAAACAATATAAGAAAATCATTTTCACTTGCTGATTAATGCTACTGTCAGCAATTGTAAGCTTCCTTCCACTGAAATTCGATAAGTTGAAACATTTGCAGTGATCATATGCATCTGATTTGGAGCCATGTGCTACTGTCTGCAATCACAAGTGTTATTGCAGCACTAAAAGTCAATCTTGTATCTTCTAGCATTCCTGAACCATCTGTCCCAGCCAAAGGATAATGGGCAGTTGATTTTAGCAGCATGAACAAGCTTCTCTAGTGATCCTGTAGCTGGCGGCAATTTACCAGTGCCAGATTGCTAAGAGAGTAAAAAAGAATACTTACTGTCTGTAACGCTATGGCCGGGAGTTCATGCGCTACTGCGCAATCTGTGGGTCCCAGTCTTCCGCATTATTAAAAAACATGCGCAAGTGCACGCTACATAGGTGACGCGCTAACGTGGAGCACGGGAAGTGACATGACTCCCTCTAATTGATGGGTCTATTTAAACCAGACTGCCCAGTTGACCAGTGCTGAATGGTCTTTCAGCTTGTGCCCTTGTTTCCTGTGTTCCTGTTAGTTTGATTGCCTGTTGCCTTGACCCGGATTGCCCTGAGTACACCTGATTTCTGCCTGCCCTTGACCTCTGCTTGTTTCCTGGATTTGCTTCTGTCTTCTCCCGGGTACTGTGCTGCTCTACTGGTTTGACCCCTGGCTTGTTGGACTTCGCTCTAGTTCCTGCTTCAGCCCACGCTGACCTCTCAGCTGAATACCAGTCCTACTTATCATCCCGGGGAACCTGTTGCTGGACTCTTATCTGGCACGGTTTCTGAACACCTTGGCACCCGTGCTACTCTCTGTCTACTCACTCCCTGTCCTCAAGGGAGGCCTCCTCAGCTCATCTGGTCCTCTACCAGGTACGTGATAACTTACCTATTTATCCAGCATCACTCCCTCGCTGAGTGAACTAACAACATGTCTCTCCATTGCTGCTCCCTCGCTGGCAAGTGAGATTCTACTGCTTTTCGGCCATCGAGTGAGAGATGCCATAGGAGCAGGAGAGGGCTCTCTTTAGCGATCCTCTTGCGGGCAGCAACAGGATCATCCCTGTGAGATAACTCTTAGTGATGCACACTGTTTTATTTTTTGCATGTTTGTGTACAAGGCTTATATATATATAAACCAAAGTAAAAAAGTAACATCTTTTGGCTTGCAAGTCCTTAGATGTGGCTATCATTTTTGGGCATTTCCTGGCGATAAAAATGCTGTCATGAAAGAATTATATTATTATTATTATACAGGATTTATATAGTGCCAACAGTTTATGCAGCGCTTTATAATCTATGGGGAGACAGAACAGTTACAAAACAATTCCATACAAAGGATTAGATGTACCCTGCTAGTGAGAGCTTGCAATCTACAAGAAGGGTCAAGTGATACAAAAGGTAATAACTGTGAGGGGTGAGCTGATTGAAGGTGTAGATGTACCTGAAGAAGTGAGTTTTCAGGAATTGCCTGAAAAGAGACAAAGTAGGATATAGACAGATACGTTGGGGTATTGTGTTCCAGAGCATGAGAGAGGCTGCAGAGAAGTCCTGGAGGTGAGCATGGAAGGAGGGGATAAGGGGGCTAGAGAGCAGGAGGTCTTGGGAGGACATTTTGAGAGGATATTTTAAAACAAGTTTGGTGATAACTCAAAAGCACCTTAATGGAACAGCTCAAAGCTACTTTGAAGCAACAAAAGAGCTTGAAGCAACTTGAAGCAGATCCTTCAACTGAAAGGCAAATCAAAGCAATATAGACCAGCCTTTTTCGGTTTCAATGCTTTTAT